AGGACCAATTTTCTCAAGGACCCTTGAAAATTACAAACCATTTTCTTGAACACAACTAACTGTAGATCAAACAGCAGAATAAGGCGCTAGCAACACAAAGGTTATTTACATTTACATTACATTTAGCAGACACTTTTATCTAAAGCGACTTACAAATGAGGACAATAAAAGCAGTCAAACTAACAAAAGAGCAACAATATATAAGTGCAAATGACAAGTCTCGGTTAGCCTAACGCAGTACACATAGCAAGGTGCGTGTATGTATGTATGTATGTATGTATGTACATATATATATATATATATCACACAAAGAAAAACAAGTAGATAGAATAGAAAAATTAGAATAGAGAGTTAGTGTTTGTTTTTGGTTGTTTTTTTAAATAAAGAATTAAAAAAAGATAAATATAGATAAAGTAGAATTAAAATAGAATAGAAAGTGTTAGAGTTAGAGGGTCAAATAAAACTTATGCATGGAAAATACATGAACTGAAACAATGTATACAGTGAATGCAATGCAAGCTGCTTTGGATAAAAGCTTCTGCCAAATGTATAAATGTAAACTTGGGACTGCACTGCCTTCAAAATGTCCTAATTAGACATTTGAAAGTGGTAATCCTGATTTTAGATGGAATATAAACATGTCGCATATTTTTACATTTATTTCTTGAGGCTCAACGAGTTTTCCACTGCTACATAGTGACAACATGACAATCACATGCGTTCATCTAGTCAATACAATAACTTCAACATGATTTTAATGCCCTACTTGGTAGATTACAAGGACCATACTACTACAAACCTTCTTCACCATAGACTTGAGGGGTGCCATGTTTTCATCCTCTGAGTTTGTACCATTCTTGGCTTCTGTAAATGAGGTGAAAGTGGGAAAATCAGCTTCAAAATTATAGGCAAGGAGGTTTTACAAGCTGACAGAGGATGCAAAATGTACCTTTGGCACCAAACTTGGGAATCACATGATTCTCGGCAATAGCAAGCTCCACTTGAGCAGCTTCCTCCCTCACCTGAACAGAGAGAAGACTTTACATCAAGACCAGCAGTGATCGATTTAACAATATTGAGGAGTTTACAACATGTAAAAGGTATGGCCAAACAAACACGTTTAATGCAAGTACCTTTGAATCATCCACTGGTGACTTTGGCTTCTCTATATCTGAAGGTTCAAATGAGAACTGTATTTATGTACGATATTCATTCCTATGCTATTTTACCACATATTACCAGACACTACATGGACTATTTGTCAAAACGGTGCAACTGACATATATGACTTACTGCAGTACTCGATCCAGTTCAGTTTCCTCACTGCCATGGGAAGCTTTATCAGAGCGGTCTTGTAAAGGTTGTCTGCATCTTTCAGAAGATTGTTCGTCTTCTCCTTCAGTCTTTCAACAATGGTATGCACTACAAACAAAGAATAAAGCTTTCAAAATATGGACACATATACTTACGTATTCAGACACTAGCGACAAATTTTACCTTCATCGTCAAAATCAAGCAAAAAAGCTTCCAGTTTCGGCATTTTGGGATTCTTCCTGTTTTTAGCATTCTGAGTGCGTTTTCTTGGTGCCATGGTGAACCTGAAAAACAAACACGATGAATTCCTTCAAACCCACGGCGAATACGCTCATATATATTTAAGTACATGGTACATATCTAGTTAAATCAATCGTTTTAAACTCATTTAAAGAACATTAATATTTTCTTACTCTAATAACCCGGTCTATGTTGAAACTGTTTTTCTCACTGCAGCGGTTAGGAAGAGCCTTTTCAAATTTAACGCTACAACGCCATTAAGCCAATCAGCACGCAGCTTTGACTGTCGTTTAGTAAATACGCTCCGTGCTCTGACCAATAAGATATCGTCCCTCTTAAAAGAAGAATCTGGCCAATGGTTGAGAGTTTTACTCTCACGGCTAAAGAAAGAAACAAGCGGATTGGTGGATGATGAGACATTTTCCCGGAAGAAGCTCATCGCTGGATTATTCACATGTACTTTTACAAAGGAAACTGGAATATTTTTGTATACGCTCTCACAGATGTGATTTGTGGTTTATCAGATACATTTAAATATTGGCGGGGTGTGATTAATATTAGAGTTTTTAAATAGATATTTTAAATTCATTTGTCGTATGAATCCTCTGTAAAAGAACGTAGTTCACAGTGGTTCTCAAGTTCTGCCACTGAAGGATTTAAAAAAATGTCCAGTGCTGTTTTGTTATCATTGCACCAACAACTGAAAAAATGCTTTGAGACGTTAAAAGCGAATAAAAGCGTTTGGGACAGTGAATTAGCTGAATGTAAACCCCTCGTGAGCTCTCTTGGAAACCTTGCAGTGCAGCTGAAGGCATTGAAAAGCGTTCAGATTGCAAACACACCTCTCGCCAGTTTCCCTAGTTTACAAGAACGCCTTCATTACAAACTGTCACTGGCTGTGGATGCAGTTCTGGGAAAACTAGCTGAGAAAATGTGAGTCCTGTTAGATTATCATTTTAATGCACATAAAAACCAATGCTTCATTTAATTTTGTCTTTATTTCCAGGGATGCTCTTCAGAATGTGCGGGATGCCATCAGTCAACAGGTGACGGCTGTTTTCCAGTTCTATGAGAAGAACACAGACACTCTTGACATTGCTGGTTGTGTCTCCAGATCAGCCATCTGTCCCTCCATCTCAGACATGTTAGAGTGGCTTCAAGATGCAGATCGCTATTACCGCCTACAGTATCCTTTAAGTCACATTCCTCATGACCACTGTTGGCATCTATGTTATACTTCATCTATCTCTGTGTTTGGTACATGCATTATTGTGCAGTGAATCCTCAATTTATCTGGTTAGATTAGTGCAAAGAAGGAACCTTCTGCAGACGCTGACACCCAATGACCTTACGTTAATGGAAACGGCACCAAAGAAATGGGAATCTCTACGTTCAGCTACTGGAGAGGAGAGAATTGCAGGTATTTCCCCTTTTCCTAGAATAGATAAGGTTACACTCTTTGGCCCCATTTTCACCTGGTATTAATGTCTGTCTTGGGTGATCTGATTACAAGTGGTTGGAACGTAAAACGGGCATAAACAGCGGTCCAGAATATTTTGTGATGCTGTCACTCCCTTCTTATCACAAGTGGCCATAAAAAACACATTCAATATGTTGATACCAGGTGTAAACGGAGAATTTGATACCGTGCAATTGTTTGGCTGCATCTATTAATCATGCTTTTTTTGTTGTAAAGTGACATTTTATAAGAGTCACAAATTAGAATGTATGTGCATGTAATGTATACAAATTAATATGTTGATACCAGGTGTAAACGGAGAATTTGATACCGTGCAATTGTTTGGCTGCATCTATTAATCATGCGTTTTTTTGTTGTAAAGTGACATTTTATAAGAGTCACAAATTAGAATGTATGTGCATGTAATGTATACAAATATATGCAATGTATAATAGTAAAATGAGAGATTTTGGTTTCTAAATATATATTTTGGGTTCATGTTTTTGTGTTTTAGATGCATTGTGTCAAGTATCATTCTTCATGGAGACTGAATGAATGTCAGCTGTGTTATCAAGAAGTCATTTCCACATCCTGTGTTGGCTGTTCTCAGTATGTCAACGAAGGATCCTTTACACAAAAAAGAGAGACAGTGGTATGGTAATGGTGGAACTCAGACTCCTGGATTCATTTTTTGTTTTGGCCATTAGCTTGACAAAGACTGAATATCAGTATCATTGTAAGAGCAGTGCTCTATTTTAAAAATGTGGTTATTTAATTTATGCATTTTATTCTTTATATTGATAAAACGATTGCACTGTTGGTGAATGTATGTCACATCACGTGTCTTTTTATTTTTTTCTCAAATGGTTCAGGTTTACACAGTTTTAATTGATAAATACAGAGAAATCACAATGAACACAGCAATCAGACATACCGAGTGTGGGTGTACTGTTTCTAAGGACAACAGTGGTAAGCTGTCATTTGCCTACAAGGCACAAGATAGATAAAAAAAAACACTGCAAAATGGGCCTAAGAGTTAATACTATTGGACTAAAAAAACAAAGTCTAATCAAAATGTGGTTAAAAACTAATCTAAATATAGTACTCATAAATATTTGAATACCTGAAGGAACACTTCATACGAGAAAATACAGTAAAAGGCAGAGAGTGACAAACAATAAGGCAAAGAAAATGTTTCTGAAAATCTTGGACCCACTGCAATACTACTAGAATATTACTACTCAAACTCTGTGTTCCTAATTCTAGATACTAGACCAGGGGTGTCCAAACTCGGTCCTGGAGGGCCGGTGTCCTGAAGAGTTTAGCTCCAACCCCAATTAGACACACCTGAACCAGCTAATCAAGCTCTTACTAGGCATATTAGAAACTTAAAGGCAGGTGTGTTGAGGCAAGTTGGAGCTAAACTCTGCAGGCCCTCCAGGACCGAGTTTGGGCACCCCTGTACTAGACTGTCTTTAATTAAAGGTGCACTCAGTAAATTTTTCCACATTAAAACCCTTAACCCTGAAGAAATGAATAATACTTTTAACAAATGAAAAATAATGTACACTAAGGCCTACTGAAGCAAACTGAGATCACATGACCAGCTGTGCTTTACAATTCAGAGTTCAGTTAAAGCTTAAGTGTGTCATTCTTTCCAATGTTTGGGATGAGACTATAAATTTTTCAGTGGTAAATGACAATCCTTATTTGTCCAATTCTGTTTTTGCTAGTGGTACAGAAACGACATACTTTAAAGCTACAAATTCAAAGGTGAAATGTATAATTACTGCTCCACTAGTGTCACCAAACAGAATTTCAAAAATAGAAACTTGTCAAACACTCCTGTTTACAAAGTAATAGTCCCACTTCAAACTCGCAGCATTGGTTGTGCCACTGTTGCACTGAAAAATAGCAGATTGCAATTCCATTTTGGTGCCACTAGTGGTGCAGAAATGACATTTTAAAAAATAAAGCTTTACAAACATAAAAATATATCCAAACGAAAGCAAACCAAACAATATAACAGTAAGTACATTATGTATATTACAGACAACATAATGAAGGAGCCGTAGTCAACAGCAGCAATGTGTCCGATGTATGAGCAATGAAAGAAAAGGAGCAGATAAATGGGACTTCAAATGGCAAACGTGGACATGATTGCCACAGTGACAATGACACAAAATGCATCTGTCCATTGAAACAAAAATTACTGAGTGCACATTTAATCATTATCCCTGTTTAGCCACACCTTCCCACATTTGCTTTAATTTATCTTTATCATACATACTCCTTAAGAGGCAGGGTACTGGTGGTGATTGACTTCGGCGGATCTGGAGCAGAAGGCCTTGAATTTGCTAAACTACGACCTATGTACCCACGTCTGTACCCTCCTCTCTCGATGTGTGGACAGGTACTACTCAGCACCGCCCCGCTGATCATAAGAATCACTGCTGCTGCCCATCCCAGGTAAATGGCCTGACCCAGCTCCTGCTTGTGCTGGAGGGGAACATTGGGGTTGTAGAAGTCCTGCACCACAGTGTTCGCTGTCCAGGAAACCGGCACTAGGATGCACAGGCCCGTCAGGATGAAGAGCACCCCACCGGACAGCGCTATGCCAGCCTTGGCATGGCGATCATCCCCGGCACAGGTGGTGCACTTCATTCCACAGCAAGAAACGGTGCAGGACAACCAGCCCAAGAAGATAGCAATGCACATCAGTGCCCGTGCTGCCTGGATATCAGGCGGTAGAGCCAGCATGGAGTCGTAGGTCTTACACTGCATATGGCCAGTGGTCTGGTAGATGCAGTTCATCCAGATGCCCTGCCAAACAATTTCGGAGGTCAAGATGTTGCTGCCTATGAAGGCCGTGACCTTCCACTGGGGCAGTGCAGTCACTGCTATAGCCATCACCCAACCTGTCACAGCACAGGTGAAGCTGATCAGCTGCATACCTGTGTTCACCATCTCGCCACCCTCTGAGTACCACGCCTCCTCGGGCCACAACCTCGACGACACTTTTCCGCTTGCAGGTGCTCCAACTATAGATAATAGCTTCAGCCCTCCTTGCCTACAGAGGTCGGCACGTTTGTCAATCCTTAGCAAGAAGTCTAGGTCAGTCCTTCTTTGAAAGTTCCTTGCCAGACCTCTCGGTTTTGTCTTTTTCAAATTTCTCAAAGCAAAGTTTTGTTCAGGTGCATGCTAGTCCGTTTTTTGGTCTCATCACATTTGCAAATCCTCCGCAAAAAGTCTTGGTCAGTCCTCCTTAAAAAGATCCTTGCCAGACTTCTCAGTTTTGTCTTTCAAATTTCTTGGAACAAAGTTTTGTTCAGCCGCATTCTAGTCCATCTTTTGGTTTCTCGGACAGTCGTGCTCACTTTCGTCTGGTCTTTCTTTGAAGTGATGAATAATTAAAGAACTGCTGGCACTTGTCTCAACTCACCCACATGGGATTGATTGAACTTCAGTAAGGGCACCACCATCACAGGCTACATCCAGATGGTAGAAGTTGGTCTTGCACCACTGTAAAGTGGTGTGGACTTGTCTTCTCTGTAAAGAAAGATCTACTCTTATTGCAGGGACATGTGTCTCTGTTGCCACCCAGTCCGGTGTTGCCTTACCCAAACAGGTCACACCGATTGAATTTGATACCGTGACATAGATGCAGTGGCTGTCAAAGATGCATTACTTCCAAGCACCCAACAAATGTCAAACAGAACCAAAACTAGAGTCTGAACGATGGCAAAGGCCTTCGTAAATGATCCACAATTAAAAAGAAACATTCTTCAGATGTGACACCTGTGCGAATAGATGCCAAAAGTAAAGACGTTGTCCTCATTCAAGCTCTTTAGCTTTGGTGCTCTTATAGAGAAGAGGATCGTATCGAGAGCAGACACAAAAAGAAGTGCTGTGCTTCAGGACACTTAGGCAAAGACAAAAGCAATGTCCTGTTCCCTGCAACAAAACCTTCACGGGTTGGTTGCTTGCTGTCAGAGTAGCGATCGCCTATTGGGCAGGCCGATAACCCTTACAGGTGTTGCAAGTATGCCAGTCTCATCCACCTTTAGAGACACTGTCGAGCAAAGCCACTCTCATCCTGAAAGGAAAACAGCGGATGGCAGGATATAAAGGGAGACGGCGCAAGACAGAGGAGGGAGGGCGAGAGTGCTGTCTGCTAGCAGATCAATTAACACAAAGACAATCTAGGGGCTGTCAACAATACGCTTCAAAACATTCAGCGCTTTTGAAGAGACACTGCAAAGAGTGCTTACCCTTTTCCTTTATGAGACTGTTTTGACGAAGAAATTGCTTTATAAGAGTGGGCTTGAGAAGGTGTTTGCTGTTGTGGGAAATTCTGAGGGCGACTGTGATGACTAACACCAAAATCCTCACACTAGTATACCAGTCCATTTTTTGTGATGGAGAACATCAGTAATCTGCTTCCTCTCAAAACTCTTCAGTATAACAGCATTTTAGGCAGAAGTGTGAATTTACACGTCTGTCAAGTTGTAAAGGGATACTTTACAAAAGGTACAAATGATCTGATTACAGCAATATAAGGTTACCTTGCGAGGTGATTAAAATGAATTGATAGTGTTGTTGTTTTTGGGCAGACTTACTGTAACTTACATTTTAAAATATAATTATTTGATAAAGAGACTACTACCACGTTATTTCAAATGGCTTCATTGTTTTTATGTCGGTTTGCCCTTTTCCTTTGTCTCATCCTTCTCCATAACATGCAAACGTTAGTATCTGAGGTGATGAATTAAATATTACAGCTACAAGATCTCTGGTTTAAGTTTCCTTTCTCTTGTGGCTGCCTCTCCTTGGCAACAGTGGTCATGACAACAGCATAGAACACAGGAAATGAGAGTGAGTACACAAACGAGAGAAAGAGAGCAGATGAATGAGTGATGGCCCACAATGAAGCTCAAGTGTAATTCAACAATCATACAGCGTTTGAAACGGCAACCTGTATAATAATAAAAAAAAAAATCATGCTCTCTTTAAAGGGGACAGAGAATGGGTTAAAAAAAAGTTAAGAGGTAATCCTTGTGTAGCGGACCCTTGGGGCCCACCACATGCAGAGAGGAAGTGCATGTGTGGAGGTGCCACCAGGGCGGCGCCACAGCACTGGAGAGCCCAAGAGCAGAAGGAACAAGACCATGGGTAAAAGGGCTCCTCATCAGCATGAGGATGGAAAGAAAGGTTGAGGAGGTCAGTCTTAGCGGCCCAGTGATTGAAGAAAGTACCTCGTTTGGGTTGGAGCTCCCAAAGACCAACATCCTCACCCCTTCAGCCCCCAAATCGGTCCCTCATCAGAGTTGGTGACATTTCTGGAGAAATTTTTAAAATCTTGTAAAAGAGACCGGACAACATCGCTACTCAAAACAGTCTCACTGTATTGATTTACGCATAAAAAAAAAAATCTGCGCCATAAATATTTTATAAGAGATTAGAACAATACTCTGGCATGCAGGCGAGCACAGTTTAAATTTGAAAATTTTCCACATAGCCTAAAGAGCTAGTCCACCATATGCACATTCCCACTGATTGATACAAGCAAAATAAGTACATAAACACAAATGGCAATAGGAATCCAACCAACAGCCACATTGACAAAAAGTATTACAGCTTTTAAATTGTTCTAGATTTTGGGTTATATTGCTTTGCAATGATATCATGTTAAAAACTGGAATTAAATGTCAACAATTTAGTGAAAATGCCTAAAAAGGACACACACACACACACACTACGTGTTTTTCTCTAGAAGCTGTGACATCGAGTAAACTATTTAGCATTCAATGCTTAAATCCAACTTATTGCATGTGATGCCCTTGCCCAATTCCTGTTCTTCTTTCATGGGACCAGCGTCCACGCCAACGACAGGCTGGTGCTCAAACTCATTTATAGCAAACCTGCTGCTTTACGGATGGTTTATTACAAAAGGGTTTTTGCAGAGCGGCCCCCCTGACGAGGCGTGCGCGCTGGAGACCCTTCAAACTGCACCGTCAGTGCCGTTCAGTCCAAAGGCAGTGCTTATGCTTGTGTGTCTTAATGTATGGTGTCCTATTTTTAATATGCAAGAGAAAGTTCATTCAGATTTATATTATAGATTCAAGTTCATATACACACACAGAAGTAATAAACAGACTATAAGTGTAAAATTCATATAACTGCTGAACATTCCCCCCAAAAAGTTGATTTGTCACTCTACTTCTTTCCATTAACTTGGTTCAGAAATGGTCTAAAACTCAAACTCTGATCAGTTCAAACTTAAAAAAAAGTTGACAAAACAAAGCATTTTGGGCCCTCATTACCAATGCCACAACGCTACAAGAATTTAAGCTGTATAAAAAAAAAATGTTAAAAAATCTCTCCATTTACAACCACAATGACTCCTGGATCAATTAATTATGCGACCGATTTGCAAACAACTGATCAATATCAACATTAAGAACAAGAACAACGATTATCTACTCTAACAAACTGTTAAAGTTTACCACACTTAGTTCAAAAGATTTCCATTTCTAATAAATGCAGTTTCTGAAATGTTCTATTAAATCTTATCACAAAATATTAGGTTTACATGCACAACTTTTGCATCAATCGGAATGAGTTTCCCCGCTGTTTGTGCATAACCATTCTTCTACACAGTTTCTTTATTTGTTTTAAACAGCAGATTAATATTTATCCATTTCTGGTCATAATTTGGCGACAATGAGCACATAAACCACTGTGCCGTGCAGCTTATATTTATCAAGCAGTAAAAACACTCCTCCCGCAGCCAAAATTAGTTGTCTGTGGATGAGAATCCAAAACAGGAACTGGTGGGACGCTGAGTGAAAGGAGTTTTTAAAATAACGAGACACTCATTTATACAACATGAAGAACAGCTCGTTCTGTGCGTCATGTGTTATATGCTATTTCTGCATCATTGCAGTCCTTTCAGTTTTCAATCCGATCAAGTGTTTACATGCACTCTCAGTCATATTAGAAAAGGAATAAACCATCCCTTTCAATCTGATAAAAATTTCATTCAGATCGAACTCAATCGGATCGATTAAAGTGTTTACATGAAGGCTTTTCAGTCTGATTGAGCCATCAATCCGATTACTAACAGATTATTTGGGTGCTTGTAAACGTAGCCACTGAAGACAGGAGTGCGAAAAAAAAAACTTAATGCTGTATATTGAGCAGTGGACAACGTTAAATCCATATATGAGATACATATCTGAGGAAAAATGCATTGTTGGTCGGCGCCACCTAGTGTGCAGGCGTGAATTAGCAGAAGGCGACCAAACGTTTCGCGTTCGGTGTGAAAGCACTGTTCGTCGGTGAGTCGCCTCGCTTTTTCAAATTGCGCTCAGTGTGGAACGGCTTTAAGATGCATGTATGTGTGTATGTGTGTGTGTGTATATTCACTTCAAATAATTTGGTACCAAATCTTTTCGTTTTCTTTTTTCTTTTCTTCTTTTCCAAATCCCACCTTTGATGTGGCACCAGCACATTGTTGATGCCTCCTAGTTTGGCGTTGATCTTCAGACAGAGATTGGACAGCGTCTGAGGGGACGTCTTCACCACATTCTTCACCTGAACGCACTGAGTGGCCATTCCCAGCAGAGTATCTCCCACACGCTTCACTTCCGCTGGAGGCACAAAACCACTTTAGTATCACAGGGCTGGGCGATATGGCCAAAAAAATTATCACAATTTTTTTCATACCAGTCGATATCAATAATTATCACGATACCCTTCAAATCTTTATTACTTTCAAGTTTAAAGGTAGATTTTTGCTCCTAAGTGAAAGTTGTAGAAACCAGACATGACAGAACATGACAAACACTTCATGTTTTTTAATTCTTTACACTCTTCCAGTCATTTTTCCTTAAAATAAATATATTAATAGAAAAATGTATTTCTTAGTTTCTGCATGTTCTAATGAGGAGTGATATTGTTTCAAATCATGAAACAGGTTTGTATTGCCTGACTTTGATGCTGTGTATCTTCAGCACAGTTTGCAGTGCAGGCTGCAATATTAATATTATTAAATTTTTTGTCTCTTAGAAATGCACATTTGACAGTAACTTGAGTTGACACTAGTAGTAGCTTGAGTCAGGATGCAGATGTCAATTTATTCATTATCAAAACAGTTCATAATCAAAAACAGTAACATCTCATTTTTATATGGTGAAATTTCATTATTCTGACTGTTTGAGGGTTTTTTGTGATTAAAATTAACCATTGGTCTTCCATAATTGCATACATTTAGATCAGGATAACCACAGTTAAAACCAAACATATAGCATGCTCAATACCATGTTAAAATGTAACTACATGGTTTCTAAGTATTTTTATGAAAAACAGTCTAAATATATTTAGTGCACAAATGCTGTAGCTTAAATCACAAAAAATACTGTAATTATATTCTATATAGATTTAATACATGTCTACATTAATAACATAATAAAATACCATATCCCACATTTCTTCCACAATACCACGGCACAGTTAGTGTTACTACAGTAAATCCATGGTAAATGATGGCAATTTACAGATTGAAAAGCCTTCTGACTGTATCATTGTGCACAGTGTTTCTCCTGTTTGTCAGCGCCGTTTCATCTGGCTTTAAACTAGTTTAAATCATGACTAAATGGGTGTTCTTTGCTGAATTCATGCACTTCACACTGGATCTTACAGCGCTGTTTAGTGTCGGCAGGCTACGGCCCACACCTTGATCTCTATACCCGCATAAAACTGCTTTCCTCTCATGTCCCAGACACCCTGATTGGGTGTGGCCACAGTTTTGTTCTGGGGAGAGAGTCCCTACACTCTTAGTGAATCTCTCATTCTCATCACGAGATACACATTCTACCCAATACCCTCCACCAAAACCAACCCCACCCAACTCTAGCAGGCCTGGGCTAATAGCAGAAAGTAGACTGCAGAAAAGACCCACCGCCAACCTCCCCACTGGTTAAACACAGAATGTTTTAATATTTATTTTTAGAATTTAGTCTAAAAATGCAGTACAAATTAGCTGTAAAGGTTAAGCATGAAGCAAGTAAATTAATGCAGTAACAAAAATAAATCATTAATTCGAGGATTGCATCTGAAATATCAATACAGGTGTTATTTGAATTGAATACAAAAAAGAACTGCTCCAGTGTTCAGGCGTATCAAATACTCTTAAAGGTCCACAATAACAATTTTACAATTAACGGTTTAAATACAATGAAAAAAATACAACATTATATTTGATTAAATTTAATATAATATAATATGAAAGGCCCTGAAGACTGGAGCATCTGAAAATACATTAAGAAAAAGCACTCATAACAAGCACACAAGCAAGATGTTAGAGATAATAGTAACTCAGAATTTTCAGTCGAGCTCATTAACAAAATAATTACAGCGATAATATTGACTGCTCTCATATTTAATACATAGTATAAGTCAGTGACAGTGAGTGAAATTTAGTAGCAAACACACGAGGTTGCATCTCTTTACATACAACAGTTTCGCCAACTTAACCAAAACAACTGGTACTGTTTGCAAAGAGAGAGCAATCCCCCAAAGGGTTGTTATCTTACAGGAATGAAGATAAAACTCTACCGGTAGGTTAATTTTAAACAAGAAAAAAAAAAATCACAATTGTTAGATGAACAATGATGATACTTCTCTACACATGAGAAAGATCTCATTTTAACTTCCACAAATAGATGTTTATGTACAGTTGTAGTTTTAGCAATAGCATATGGTCTATAAAATGACTAAATGAGATGTGTAGAAGTTTACAGATGTAATTATGATCTAATTGCATTAGACTTGAGTTCCTCAAGATGAGTTCCTGAGATGTTAAAGGGGTCATGAACTGAGAAATCAAAATTCCATTGATCTTTTGATAAGCGGTCATTGCACTATAAACATTCTGTAAGTTTCAGAACTCTCAACTTTCTTGTTAGTCTAAAAACAGCTTAAATTGAAGTCAATCTGCCAAAACGACAGGTTGTGGAATGTGCCGCTCTATGACGTAATAGTGTGGCTAAGCACCGCCTCCACAGAAAAAGATCAACACCTACTTCTATATCACTGCCTGTTTATCCCCATCCACCGATTCACGCATGCAGTGTAAATAATGAGAGAGTCAAATGCAGGTCTACGCAGAAACCAAATGATAAAGATGACTCCGAAGACAACAAGACGCTGTGCAGAACCAAAGTAATGGAAAAACACAGTCTTTGCATCTCCTTTCTTCTGATCCCAACATTAGGAAAGATTGGATAAACTTTCATTAATTTCCTGACCACGTCAGTAAGAACTTGGTTGTTTGATCACTTCATTTTACCGCGGATTTGTTTACAAACAAGGCACAATTCGATGCAGGGTTTTCAGAAAGATTGAAACTAAAAGACGATGCTGTGACGACTATATTGTATCCGACAGTAATGCCGCACTACAAGAGTGTGAGTAACTGTTTTGATCATGAACAAAGGCAGTTCATGATCCCTTTAAAATAGATTGGTAGGTTTTGGCCAAAGCTGCTCAGCATAATCAGTGGAGTCTGATCATCATTCCTTTGGATAGTCCATTCAACCCACGACAACACTCACACACGTACACGCATGCCATTGCTCCCAGCCCACCCGTACTCACCCTGCACCCGAGCCCCAGTACTCACCCTGCTACAGTCCCTCCCAGTGTCTGTACTCACCCGGCCCCCATACTGAAGCATGGGCGCTGGGAGGACCCGCCCGGTCACCTCTGTCATATCATTGTGAACCACAATGCCAAACTCTTTCAGGTAAGGGTCAGGCCCGCCCACCATGTTGTTGCTTTTGACCTGAGAAGATTAACAGGAGCTTAAGTGATGAATATTTTAAAACAAAGTGATTGGCTCTTTTAACCATAAGGCTGGACTTCCCTTTGTACTGTTGCCATATTGAGCATTGTGATTTCTCTCATTAATTTTTCAACAAGTGCCACTGACCAGTCTGCTGATCTCTTCCTGTCTGTCTGGGGCTGAGCGGGCCGTAGCTTTTATCATGGTTGAGGTCTGGTTATCTGTTAGTTTCTTTATACAGCGCTGTCCTGCCACTATGTTACAAACCTTTATGGAGGATACAAGACAGGATTCAACGAGTGCCAAGTCAAATCACATTCATTTCTGTATATGTGAAAGCTGGGAAAACCTTTCATATGATTGGCATGTCTCTTACCTCAAGGGGCAGATAGGTGTGCTTCTGTTCTTGCCCCACCTGGAGGCAGGGCAAGTGGGGGTATTTGAGCTGCAGGCTGTACTTTTGTTTGAAATACTGGGCAACGGTGCACTCCATAGCTTGTCCGTTCTCGAGCTGCAAAGGAAATCTACAGAAATGTGCAGAAAATAAGGAGGAAATCACTGGTGGGTATAACACAACTCCTAAATAATATTTGAAACGCTCAACCATATATTACAGGAAATTTTGCAAACGCTGATAAAAATGTAAATGGCACTAACGTCTGATGGCTGGCTGGGCGGCGTGTGACATTGCACACACGGTACTTCCTCTTCATCTGGCCGCAGTGTGTGACCTCCACTTTCAGTCCTAAACACACGATGATATTAACTCAGCAATTCACTACACAACCACAACTGAAGCAGTCTTGGCCCTTGATGTGGCGTGATGTCACTTGATGTGAAGTGACAGTAAAGATGTCACAAATTTTTTTTTTCAAATAAAAGCTGTTCTGTTGAAAAAATTATTACAGTTTCCATAAAAATATTAAGCAGCACAACTGTTTTTAACATTGATAAGTGTTTTTTGAGCACTAAATTATATTAGAAAAATTATGATGAATCACGCGACACTAAAGACTGAAGTAATGGTGGCTGAAAATTCAGCTTTGCCATCACAGGAATAAATTGTATATTAAAATATATTAAAATAGAAACCAGTGATTTTATTGTAATAATATTTCACAATAGTGCTGATTTTACTGTATATAAATGTACTGTATAATATATAAATAAATGTAGCCTTGGTGAGCATAAGGGAGTCTTCAAAAACATATAGAAATCTTACCACACCCAAACTTTTGACAGGTAGTGTAAATTAAGCTAAATGACATTATGAACCATTTTACAGCAACATGCTTCACCGCTCACCTCGGATCTCCTTGGTGAACTTGACACGTTGTGAATCTGTGAGGGGCTTGGTCTGCTCATTGATGTTCTGGATGTCCAGAACCTCACACATGAACTCAATGACAGGCTGGGCTCGGTAGAAGGCTGTAGCTGACACTGCAGTGTATGGACATTTTTTTTTTTAAGAGCAGAGTTGGGCATATTCTCAAGATGCACAAAATCAAATAGAAGAAAAGATTTGGAAGATAAAACATACCGTCTATGTTGAGCATCATGTTCCACATTGCTGGACGGACAGACTGATGGAAACCGAACCAAACCTCCCTCCCTCCTCCCAGTGGGTGGTAATACCCCTCTGGTGGTGAGAAGAAGGAACGACCTACTGGAGTGTACCTGTATCAAAAGGTGCGAAAGATGTTAGGCCAACCCAAAATTTGAGTTTTCACAACTCACATGGACAGATAGGATTTCAGAGACTGTGGCTTACCGCATGGAGGGCAGGTGACGAGTGATGACATCCAGAGCCTGTACAGAATCCTCCGGGACCTCGTTCAAATGACCAGACAGAGCTTCCAGGAGCATCTGCAGACTCACCACTGACACCCACTGCAAAGACACCTTGAAGGTCTGATCCTTCCCCTCACCTGGCAATGTCACCTCCAGATCCACCTGCATCACAGGTCAAGAACGTTTATTTTTAAAAGGAGCTTTTATTCTTGCAATTAGAAGTTAAACACAAGGATCTTGTTATATTTATTAAACATCTGGGGAAACACAAAAACTGAATTTGATCATGCTTTGGTTACCCGGTCTCTCCCGATGGGTAGTGGATGTGCCGTATACATGTTCCTCTTGCCATCATAACCAGGCTGACTGTCCCCAAAGATCTGCATCTTAAAATGTCTCACCATTGTGTCCACCACCTCTCTATAGCAATAAAACACATTTGAATACATTTCCACTGCTAGCTATATTAGCAATTTTCACAAAAAACATAAAATAAATAAATACACACACTATTGTTCAACAGTTTGGGTCCGGGTCAGTACTTTTTTTTAGGAAACGAATGCTTTTAATCGGCAAAGATGCATGAAATTGATCAAAAGTGTCAGACATTTATAATGTTACAAAATACTTCTATTTAAACATTCTATTCAAAGAATCTTAAAAAAAAATATAGCAGTTTCCAAAAAACATTAAGAATCACAACTGTTTTTAAGATTGATAAGAAGAAATGTTTCTTGATCACCAAATCAGCATATTAGAATGATTTCTGAAGGATCATGTGACACTGAAGACTGGAGTGATGGAAAATAAATATATGCAGCCTTGGTGAACATAAGAGTTAGATCAAAACTAGTTCCTTAATGACCTTGATTTTGAATGGTAGTGTAAATTAAATCTGACCGTCTGAATGCTGAAAGTGTTCAATTCAGAATATATAAATGGGTATCATTTTATTTGAAAGAAAACTATATGTCTTATCTGCTTGCACTCACCTGTTGACCCGGCGGGGTCGCTTTTCAGGCTTGATGTCAATGTCATAATGGTAGACGTCGATCTTGGGGATCTGCACCTGGAAGTGATTGGCCAGCAGGCGAATCGGCTTCCCCACCGTACCCAAGCCGGGCCGGCGTGGTGGTTGGAAGAGGGAGGTAGGGGCAGGCGGGCCTGGAAGAAAAACAATCATTTTGTTTAGATGAAGCCAAAAGACTGAACCTTAATTTAACGTAGTAGTGACTACTGACTATGATCTTATTTGGCATATACCATACACTGACGTGCCCTTTTCTTTCATGGAACAAAACAATAGGGAGAATGCCTGGCTTTCAGATTGATAAACAAACAATTTTGTTTAGATGAAGCCAATAGGCTGAATTTTCACTTAACATAGTGGTGCCTACCGACTGAGATCTAATCTGACATATACCATACACTGAAGTGCCCTTTTCTTTCATGGAACAACAATATGGAGAATGTCCGGCTTTCAGATTGATCAATGGGGAAGAACATACAATGACAGCGATACAAACAACTTAACAAGACGATGTGACATCCACTTTTAACCCACCAATGGGGTAAAAAAAAAAAAAAAAACAAGGACCAATAATATCCAATCATAAATGTCCTGCCTCCAAGCAGCCCCACACCAACGACAGCAGGGCCATATGGA